CCTTGAAATGGTCTCGAGAGCTGAGAAGATTTTGGAAACGATTGGAAAATGGGAAATGTCTACTATTGGCTATAAAACAAGAAAAATTCATCTTGTCGGAAAACTATCTCTGACGATTAGGTATCTACTAGCACAGACATATACAACAAGTATATCTGTTGAGATACCTGTCAATCTGTGTTAGTAGAAACCAATTCCGTCGAGAGTTATACTTAAAAAACCTTTGCAGCCGACCGACCGAACAGCCAAAGTGCTACTTTTTTTCAAAAAACGCTCTAAAATGCTCCCTCTTTTTCTTCATCGTATTCTAAAAGTCGGAAGATTATATCGCTAAAATAGGTAGGTAAATGCACAAAATGTGTAAGTAGATTAATTGAAATGTCTGAGCATAATTATTTAAATATACTTGTCATTACATCGCAAATAAAGTAAAAATTCAAAATCGGAAAACCTTGGCCTATTAACTCATCCGGTAAGAGTTACAACTTTTATGTTCCCCCCTATAATTATATTACTCCATAAAACATTGTTCAATTAAAGAGAACAATTACCCAATAAACGTAATGTGTACGTTACGTATGATGCCTTTCGTGATGCACCGCTCTGTGAACTTGACTTATATTTTACGTAATGGTCACGATAAAGGTCGTAATTGTTAACCCAGACGTAGTGCCTTAGCTTTATTAATTGAATAATTAGTATTGGTAGGTAGTTCCGAGATTGTTCTTCTAAGAAATCAACTTTAACAAGCGTCACGAACATGAATTTCGGAGTGCCTTCACCGATTTCGTTAAACTTTTTTGATGTGTCGTAGATCTTGTGGTTTATTTTTTTGATTTCAAGAGGAGAGGAATAACGGAATTGTCATAAATAATTTATCAAAGAGCATTCAGCAACTCCAACGTTACCACTTTTGCAATTCCCAAATCAACCAACCAACAATATTCTCACTTTAACTGACAATGCAAGTTCAAAAGAAAGAAATCAACATTCCGCTAAATGGGTTCAAACATAATGATTTAATACGATACAGTTTTGCTCCATTCTTTACAAAAATCAAATCCTTTTTTACTTTCAATAACATTTAATGCAATTTCTTAAAGGGAGCCGATCGTTATTAAAGTACAAATCAAAATGAATAAGTTACCTTGATTACACGTTTTCTAGAATGGATGGTGTCCCTATGGTACAAATTAGTACCAAACCCTTCTGGAGGGTGAAGAGCGAGGGGAGGAGCTTGTCCATAAAATTAAAGTACATTAAAAAAATTGTTTTTGCGTCTTTTCGTTTTTCGGGGAACCTATGCTTTTAAAAGACAGTGTAATATTTTTTAGATAAACGTGTTTTATGGTTTGTCAGTAAAATGAGTGAGAATCAAGAGCGTATCCTATTTGTTTGCAAATTATCAGTACATGAGGATTTAGGTGTAGCGATTCGAAATACAATAGACCGAACGCGTTTCAACAACAAAGCTGCCATCATCAACGAGCAACTGAAAGAGAAAGTATAAATTCACACCTTGCTTAAATGGATATTTTCAAGCATACGTGCGGTAATGCTTGATTTACCACAATGATTGTTTTTGAAGTGAGCCATGCATACAAAAACTGTTAGGTAATCCAAAACCCCCATAGATATGAAGGATGAATCGGGAATGCACAAAATATCTATGGTATAATATACTATAATTAATGATTAAGGAGGCCCATTAGGCCAATCAGAGTTCGGAAACTTTCCCTTGTAGTGAAGATAAATAGAGCCAGATTTCAAAATTGGAAACCTAATGTCAAGGTGAAATCACAGACAAAATTTTGTACACCAAACTTCCATTTCGTACGTAGATCCGCGGATATCCACCGGACATCCTCCGGATATCTCTAGACATTCAACTACATCTTAGAATTCCCTCTAGACATTTTTTTTTTAAATAATAATATTTTATTGTGTGTTGTGTTTATACACTTACACTCGTCAACAAAGATTTACGGATATACACGTATTAATTTTTTATTCGATGACGTAGGTAATTCGAAAGCTGGGAATAGGCATCGGCGATATCGAGGATAGACAATGGAAATTCTTATATAGTTTATTTTGATGGGTAAGTACCATCCACGAACTTATAAATTAAGATGGACTGCTAATGCTGAATTAACAAATGACACCTACATGGGGGCCGCCATGATGTGCACTCACAGGGCGCGAAATTCAAATCAACCAATAAACAAGCGTTAACCCAACATTAACCTCTAAATTACTGTGACACATGTCATTTTCCAAGACTGCAATAGTCTCAAAACTTGAGCACTAGGAAAATTCCCCTAGAAAATAACTAAAACGTGCACATCATGGCGGCGCCCATGCTAGGGCCATTTCTACCTCTATGCAACTATTTGATCAGCAATCCATCTTAATTTATAAGTTCGTGGTACCATCATACCATTGAAACCTGTTGTAAAAATACTTAAATAGACTGGAAGTCGTTCTGCAAACTCTCAATAAGAACTTCTCTTAGGATATAAAATAAATTATTTAAATCTTGTGAGATGCACAAGGAAACCAATATATGTCAATGCAAGAAAAATCTATCTCCCTCTCTCTTTCTGGTTACATTGCTAGTGCAAAACCTTCTTCATCGATTTCTTTGTACAAATGGCAAAACATCTTGACTCGATGGGTTAGAGGAAGATCTTAAAGGTGTTCGAGTTCTAGCCAGGGTTGCCAGATGCCGGGCATTCATCCGGAGTCTCAGGTTTTACATCGCGCTCTCCGGCCCCCGGCGGGCGCGACTATAATTCCGGCAGAACAATAAATTTCAATTTAGGTAATACTTTTCAAATAGGTCAAACGATTCCTTTTTAAGCACCTAATAACACCTTCATTTTTAAATATGACAAAATCACAAATAAGATATCTATGATTTTGTATTAAAAAACAAAAAACTACTAACACTTGCAAGGAAATCAGAAAAATTGTTTAACTTTCTTGTTTTGAGTATTTGTGTGTAACCAGCGATGTTGATGTTTTACAGGAAAAAACAAACAAATTAACGTTACTTCTCTATTTTTGTCTCAGGAACCAGCTAGAAGGACAAAATTTGCTTTATACATCTTTTTGGGTATGCCCTTTATGATTTTTTATAAACATTTGAATGGGTGGCGAAGCAAAAAAATTCCGATCTGGACGAAATTTTGTACTTGAGGAATTTTTAAACATTAAATAACGCCCCCATAATTAGTTTTCTAAATGCGTATCATAAATGTATTTTTAGAGCATTTATCTGTTTAAATGTACTGCACATTGAGTCTAAAAATAAACCAAAATAAGTAGTTAGAATAGCACATTTCAAAATGATTCCCCGAAAAAATAAATAAAAAGGAAATTCAATTTTGGGAACCATCGATTTATTGGAAAACAAAATTTTTTTACACAGCTTAAATGGAACACCCTGTATGAAGGTACCTTAAAGGGTACCGCTCACTAGAGCGAAGCGCAGCGGAACGGATTTATTTTAAAACATAGTTTTAAATGAGAGTGCGCACACTTGCCGGAAGAGCAGCGATCGGCAGCGTAACGAAGCGGCCTTTTTCTGTTTCTTCGCATAAAGCGGAAATTATAAAAACATCTTCCTCATCAGAGGGCACAATTTAGGCGTAGTCACGGATGCGCTCTTTTCACATCCGAGAATCAGGGAATGTTAATTTATTAAACCGAGTATTAAACTAAAATCATTTTTGCAGTATTTTCTTAAATTTATTTTAAAAAAATGATCCGCCGGTGCAGGCGAGATAACTCTTAAATTTAAAAACAGCATTTGATTGAGTGGCAAAAAATGTTTTGTGCGGCCAATAGGAATAGCAGGAACAACCGATTTCCGCATTGTGTGTTGCCTATCATCATAGGAACTTTCCTATGTATAATTCTCAATCTGAGGTATAAATTAGCTATCAATTAGATTTGAATTTAACCGAATGAACACACATCGTGGACCCCTTATGGGAACAAATACAAGCTACTAATCTAATGGGACAAACTTACATTTATACCATATACTATTCATATTCAATTGGTAATAAGAATACCTACAAGAGGACGAACAGAATAGGAGAAAAACAGAGCTAGCAGTATAGAAAGATGCATAATCTATCAAAAAACTAAATCCTATAATAAATATTCTCTGCTACACAGGATGATTAGACAAGTCAAGAGTAACTCGTCCTTCTTTATGCCATTCTCATTTCTCATTTTGTACATGTGGTCTGAAAGTACTTTTCAGAATAGTAAGCAAAGATATAAATAATACCATTACCGTTACTTGCTAAATGTAACTTCTAAGCTAGCCTATACATACACAAACCTGTCAGACTGGCCACAAACATTAAAATTTACCTCCGTTGGGACTCCTAACGCCCGAAGACCTTAACCTTCTGCCCAACTGTCGTCTGTATTTGGTTGGATCGACTGTCTGCTTTTTACGTTTCATTGAACGAGCAATACCTAAAAGTCCCAGACTAACTGCCACCGAGACCACAACAACCTGCAAAGCATAAAATGAGTGGAACGGCATCGACACAATTTACAACGATTCAACCTTCTGTGTTGTCGAAAAGCTGATTCTTTCAGCTAGTACTAGTTTAAGTTGTTTGATGTGATCTACAGCAGATCCTAGATGCACTAAAAGGGACATTTTAAAAGTTCTTCTTAAAAATAAGTTTTTTTTGAGGTTACAAATTGATATTTTCGTATTCTACTATTGACACACTTTATAAATTAACGATTAAACATCACAAGGTATCACAATAAGACCGGCACTGGGAATATTCAACTTACTTCATTAGAATTAGCTTACAATCAATTTTAAAGTTTTAGGAAAGGTTATAAATAAATCAAATATCGCGCGCGAAACACGATAACGCTGTTAAACCGACTGAGTAATCGCCGCTTACTGACTGATTGCCAAATTCCACCACGTCGTTCCAGTCGGTGTTTAAATTCATCCTCCGAAGGTTGGTATGCATGATTGTCAAAGAGTACATCGAACTGTCATATTATTGTGTACATCAAGTTTAAATTTCAAAATTCCAGTGTTTTCTAAAAATGAGTTTAGACGCGTGTAATAAAAATGTTTGTACCATAGAAGATTTACCTGAAGAAGTATTAGAATTCATTTTAAGTTTAATTCCTCCATATAAAGATCTTCACGATTGTCTACAAGTCTCAAAACGATGGCGAAGATGCGTTCTAAGTAAGAATTCCGCTTAATCAGATTCTATAATTAGTACAGGAGAGTTTTTTCTTTGTTTGAGAGGGTTTTTTCTTATTTCAGATGTCGCAAAAACCAGACAAAGAAACTTCGATAGAGCGATCTCTGAGTATGCCATAGCATGGCAGTCAGTAACCCCAGTTGCTATGGCCCCAACGATCACCAAAAGATATTCACACGCAGCAGTAATTCACGATAATTCCATGTACGTGTTCGGCGGTTGCACATGTTCGATGACAACCTTTAACGACCTATGGCGATTAGATTTGTCAAAGCGACAGTGGGTTAGGCCACTTACTATGGGTACATATCCGTCACCGAAAGCGTGTTGCAGTATGGTGTGCTATAAAGATTCGTTAGGTGAGCGGTTTCTCGTCTGATTTTCAACCATAATTATTATTGTTCGCAGTTTTATTCGGCGGATGGACGCACCCGGCATCATATCCGTTACATCAGACCTGGCATCTATTCAATGAACTGCACATATACGATATAACTGCTAATCAGTGGAATTATATCGTCACGGAGAATACGCCACCACCGACTGCAGGGCATTCTGTTTCGGTTCATGGTAAATGGATGGTCATATTTGGGGGATTACAAAGAGCAAGTAATGTTGTTCATTCAACAAAGTCTAATGATATTTGGAAGCTGAATCTTGAGACATGGACTTGGTATAAGCAAGAGACTACAGATGGTAACTATTATGTCGATATTATTTTCTATAAAATTATCAAAGTAAGGGAAAACAATGCAA